TCTTTCACTGTGGAGAAAACATTCCCACCCCCCACTTCAGCATGATGGGTTGCTGGCAAGGAACCCGAAGCCAAACCCTTACCCGTCTCTGGGGATGGGGAGTGACCAAACCCCTTGTGACTTGTTTGAAAGAAAGAGTTCAGCTCTACCTAGAAAGAGTTCAGCTCTATTTCAAGGAATGTTGAATTATGTATTTATTTGTGTTATATATTTATTTGTTAGATTTATATTCCACCTTTCCTGCAGGAGCTCAAGGCAATGTACCTTCCCATTTCCCCCCACAACAACCTTGTGACATAGGGTGGGTGGAGAGAGAGGGGCTGGGTCAAAATCACCAGTTCAGCTTCCATGGTTGAGATGGACTAGACCCAGGGGTCTCCCATGCCAATCCAAGAGCTTCACTATGACACAACACTGGCTCTGAATTACACCCCTGAAGGTCTCTAGGTTGATTTCTGTTTCGGGGGTCAGGGATAGCAATTATGTTAGTTTCCCCCAGTAAAAACCAGCAAGTCTCTGGGCAGCCCAGTGGCTAATCAATTAGATCCACTAAGTGTGAGAACAAACGCGTTTGCTTTTCAGATACTACAGGAAGTTGAGTCATTTCTGGAAACTTAGAATTCAAAGCAATTTTAACAAGATTTCGTTGGATTTTCTTTGCTTCAACATCAGTCACCATTAGGGGATTACAAATATGACCGTGAGCAAGGCTCTGGATTTGGAGAAAGAGCTTATACTGCCCTGATTTTAATACAGGGAGTCCCCGGGTTAAGAATGCCCGGTTTACGGACGACCCATAGTTAAGAATGGAGCCTGTTGTAGCAAAATTCGAGTTAAATACGCAATGATTCGAGTTAAATACATAATGATTCAAGTTGAATACACAATCCTACTTAGAGAGTACTATATAATAATACTGTTCTGGCTTACGTGCAAATTCACCTTAAGGACAAACCATGGGAACGGAACTTGTTCTTAAACTGGGGACTACCTGTAGGCATACGTTGCACAGATAAATGAATACATGATGCAAAAATGTGTGCACCCCAACCCAACATTTCCATTGTGTGTTCTGAGGTTTTTGAACACTAGGGTCAATTTCTCAATAGCTGGGTTCACCCAACCTGCTGGACTAGGCTAAAGAGAGTTGGGTAACTTGTAGCTCCGTGTGTTATGAGGCATCAATATTGTCCAAACATGTTCTGTGAACCAGACTATCACATTAAGCCGTAACGTGACTTAGTTGCTTGGGCCTGTTATATGAACACAATGTTAAGTTTAGGTTTAGGGTTGTGTAAAACCAAGCAATACAATTGCTGTTTTAATTTATTATCCCCAAGACACTGCTGAAGATGTAGAGAAAGAACTCACCATGGCCCAGAAGTTTGAGAAGTTCCAGCAGGATGTCCAGACTTTTGTTGACAACGTTGGTGAGAAGACCAAATCTGCTTTCCTTGAGCTCCACAACAGTGAATTCAGCAACAAAACCAGGTGAATGTTTTTAGCGAATATTTTACAACTGTAACTTATTAGAAGGGAAGTGGGATGGGAGCAGGAGCTTGATTCAGCCATCTTGGCTGCGAATTCAGAGTTGAAATCCAACCTCTGGAGAACATCAGCTCAAAGAAGCCTGTCTTAATATTTAGCCTCAAAATTCTCCTCGGTAAACCTGAAGACACTTCCACACAGCATGTTTTCACTCTGTTCCATGTCCCGGTCTCTCACAGTTCATTTTTGGAAGTTGTTCCGTAGCTATCCTCCCTTCTGCCAGTTTTGAAACACTGAAAACAGGAACATCAGGAGCCACCCAGTTCTTTTCCCCCCAATTATTTTAATTAAAGATTACATAAAACAAACAAGATTAATTCAAAAACCTAATCAAAAGTACATTAAAAGAAAGAAAAAATGATATTAAGAAAGCGCAGAGAAAAAAAAATCCCCCCAAAAAGATAAAAAGAAGAAACTTCCTCCTTCATCCCCAGCAAGTATATTCAACATTAACAACTTATCACCATCTCTTAAAATACTACCAAATACATCTTCATTCTATACTTCACCCCATCTTCTATAGGCCCATCTCTAAATCCTCTCCTTAGTAATCAACAAAAGGTGTAAAAATTAACAGACATAACTAGCAACATAGAGTCCCCCTTTCCATTTAAAGATTATCCCCTAATCCCTCTCTTAATAATCAAAATCTCATCCCAATTAACAATTAAACATTACAAAAGATTAAGAAATAACCATTAATCATCACCATGATTAATCCCAAAGGAGCCACCCAGTTCTCATCCTCTCCCTGATCGATCAGTGATCTGTTCCTGCCTCTGCCAGCTATAAACTCCCCATTCCCGTCCCATAATAGAAGTAAAATAAATAATTAAATATTTCCTTCCCATCCACATGTTTACTACTGTATCCAAAAGGAAGCCACAACGACATCCCAAGTGTTACGACATCATTGCACAAATGGCACGATGCATTTATTTATTTATTTATTTATTTACTTATTTTTCAAATTTGTCACCACCCATCTCACTACAAATCATGCCATGATGTAAATGAGGAACAGTAGTCATTTGTATCATCTGCACAATGATGTCATGATGCATGGGACATCAATTGACACACACACACACCCAACCGGCAAGAACCCATGACTTACAGGTCAGTGCATTTGCCTGATCTGGGCATTTGTGGAAAAATCCGAGTAACTGATGTGGTGAGAAGTTGCCTGCCTGCAAGGCCACCATTGCTTTGTGGCATGTCACGTTCTCTGGGATCATGATGATGAAATGCTTTCCATAGTAGGCACAACCATCAATTGGGGAAAAGGAGAGGACTTGTTCTAAATATATTTATTCATTCATTAGATTTATTATGGCCGCCCAACTCCAAATGGATTAGGTGTCAATAGCAATCAATGACCAGCTTTGGGAACCAATAGAAGAGAATATCTGTAGCTCAGGGTTGAATTGTGGAGTCCTTGGTGCTCTCTGAGCTTGGTTGTTTGCTTGTCGACATTTCATGACCCGACTAAGTGACATCCCCAGAGCTAGGCAACTCGGTAGCCAGGTAACCTCATCAATGCACTGATGACGCTACCTAGTTGTTATTATGGCCGCCCAACTCCAAATGGATTAGGTGTCAATAGCAATCAATGACCAGCTTTGGGAACCAATAGAAGAGAATATCTGTAGCTCAGGGTTGAATTGTGGAGTCCTTGGTGCTCTCTGAGCTTGGTTGTTTGCTTGTCGACATTTCATGACCCGACTAAGTGACATCCGCAGTGCTAGGTAACTAGGTAGCCAGGTAACCTCATCAATGCACTGATGACGCTACCTAGTTGGGTCATGAAACATTGGCAGGCAAACAATCAAGCTCAGAGAGCACCAAGGACTCCACAGCTCTAGGAACTCTGGGCTGAAGGGTGGGTGCTAAGGGAGGCATGGGGTCTCGAGTTCAAGAACTGCGTGGCAGGATGAGGCAAGGTCTCCTGCCAATGAGGGAGCAGGCCACCCACAAGCTCTGCAGAGCTGACAAGGCAAAAGCCAGCTTTGATCTGCTTTCAAGTGAACTGGAGCGGAGCCAACACAACCGGTAGACTTAGCATTTTAAACAGCTGACATTAAACAGGCAGATGCAGAGCTAGCTGTGCAAAATCTTTTGGGGGAGTTGCTGTGAGTTGTCATTGTTGATTGAGTTTCATGAATTCTGGCTCAACCGGGAGGACTTTTCAGACCCTGGGATCCTCGGGTGCAAAGTTTCAGCTGGAGATGGGCAAGCCCAAGGTTTGCCTTTCCTGAATTCCACGTTGTTTTCTCCTCTTTCGGGACCGACAGGGGAAAAGGTAATTTGCAGGGAGTTGCCACTAGATTAGCAAAAAGAGCGAAGTCCTATTTGCTGAAAGAGAGGGTCGGTAGGCAGGGGAGCTTGAGAGAGCCAGCAGCCACCGCTAGGTGGAGATGCAGAGCAGCTGAGAGGCTTCCTTGAGAAGACTGCAGGAAGAAGGAGGAGCAAAACGAAGTTTATTTATTGATACGTTTATTTTATTTAGCCAATTTATACAGCCACCCATCACACAAGCATGGCTCTGGGCAGTGTCCAACAGAGACAACGAGTTACAAACCAATATAACAACTATTAAAAACAATTAAAAGTTCCTTTTCGTCAGAGAACAAATGTCTTCCCCTTGCTGGGAATGTGTTCCCCAACCTTCTCCAGCAAGCCATTGGCCATTTTGACACACACACACACACACACACACACACACAATCTCCCAATCTCCCAACATTGCCTGACTTGCAGGAAGTTTTGCAACATCACACTGACAGCTTCCTAGGTGTCCATGGCAGCTGTTTTCTAAATTCATGCCAATCTCTCCCCCCGTCTCTTTTACAGCCCGAGAAACTGGGGGGGGGGTCCCTTCTGAGCTTTTTTCCCCACCCGCTATCCAGCTGCAGGCTATGCCCTCTCTTATCTGACCATTCCCTTGGCAGCATCTCTTGACTCCGTCTCCCAAGGTCTTTCCCACATGCCACTACATTAACACAAGAGTTTGCAGGGCTTGGAGGTGGCAAGACCTCTCACCATTTTCTTGTTCTTGACAGGAACTGGCTTTCTGAGACCTTCCGGAAGTTGAAGAAAAATTTCGAGCCCATAACCTCCAGCGAGGGGTCTGACTGAGCGTCCCCAATTTCTTGCATCCATCAATGATGGGAAGAAGGATGTTCATATAGTCCCAGTGAAGCAGTGGAAAAACATCCAAAGAGATGTTGACTAGACGCCCCAACCTTTCAGTTTCTACCTGGAGCTGTGTATTTTTACTTGTGATCCATTGTTAGACATAAATAGTCACTTGGATTGAGATGGGCGGCTATAGAAATTGCATATATAAATAAATATAAACAATTTAGTAGGAGAAACATAGTTTCTAATCATTTTTTTTCTAAAATATCATCAACTACTATCAGGACAGTACAACTAGGATTTTCACTGCTACCACTTTACATTTTCAAGTTTTCTTTTCTGTACCTGCCATCTAGTTTTTTACAAGGTTAGGGCCCAGAGTTGTTCCTGCCAAGATTTTTAGTATTCACAGGTACTTTTCACATTTCCTTTTCGACCTACAAAAACCACTTTAAAAGCAGACAAAGTGACGTTCCAAAGAAATGTATGTCTGTGCATTCGTGGCTAGAAACCAAGGGAGCTGGCTCTCTCTCAGATTCTTGAATGTTTAGTAAATAAATCTTCACAATTCTGTCCTCCCATTCCATGAAGGCACCCAAAGGCCCACCAACAGTTCCAGTTTGCAGGTGAGCATCCAGAGAAACTCCCTGTTAGATTTCACCGAGTGAGGAAAGATAGAACATCACTATTCTTTCTGATCTTTTAGCAGAAATTGGCCAATACTGATCCACTGCGTTCAGGTAACACAGAAGCTGGTTATCAAATTCACCCATTTCCTGAGTTTGCACAATATATTAAACCTAACCCAGTGTTTCTCAACCTTGGCAACTCTTAGATGTGTAGACTTCAGCTCCCAGAATTCCCCAGCCAATTTGGCAACTCTCAGATGTGTAGACTTCAGCCTGGGAGCTGAAGTCCACACATCTGAGAGTTGCCAAGTTGGCTGGGGAATTCTGGGAGCTGAAGTCTACACATCTGAGAGTTGCCAAGTTGGCTGGGGAATTCTGGGAGCTGAAGTCTACACATCTGAGAGTTGCCAAGTTGGCTGGGGAATTCTGGGAGCTGAAGTCTACACATCTGAGAGTTGCCAAGTTGGCTGGGGAATTCTGGGAGCTGAAGTCTACACATCTGAGAGTTGCCAAGTTGGCTGGGGAATTCTGGGAGCTGAAGTCTACACATCTGAGAGTTGCCAAGTTGGCTGGGGAATTCTGGGAGCTGAAGTCTACACATCTGAGAGTTGCCAAGTTGGCTGGGGAATTCTGGGAGCTGAAGTCTACACATCTGAGAGTTGCCAAGTTGGCTGGGGAATTCTGGGAGCTGAAGTCTACACATCTGAGAGTTGCCAAGTTGGCTGGGGAATTCTGGGAGCTGAAGTCTACACATCTGAGAGTTGCCAAGTTGGCTGGGGAATTCTGGGAGCTGAAGTCTACACATCTGAGAGTTGCCAAGTTGGCTGGGGAATTCTGGGAGCTGAAGTCTACACATCTGAGAGTTGCCAAGTTGGCTGGGGAATTCTGGGAGCTGAAGTCTACACATCTGAGAGTTGCCAAGTTGGCTGGGGAATTCTGGGAGCTGAAGTCTACACATCTGAGAGTTGCCAAGTTGGCTGGGGAATTCTGGGAGCTGAAGTCTACACATCTGAGAGTTGCCAAGTTGGCTGGGGAATTCTGGGAGCTGAAGTCTACACATCTGAGAGTTGCCAAGTTGGCTGGGGAATTCTGGGAGCTGAAGTCTACACATCTGAGAGTTGCCAAGTTGGCTGGGGAATTCTGGGAGCTGAAGTCTACACATCTGAGAGTTGCCAAGTTGGCTGGGGAATTCTGGGAGCTGAAGTCTACACATCTGAGAGTTGCCAAGTTGGCTGGGGAATTCTGGGAGCTGAAGTCTACACATCTGAGAGTTGCCAAGTTGGCTGGGGAATTCTGGGAGCTGAAGTCTACACATCTGAGAGTTGCCAAGTTGGCTGGGGAATTCTGGGAGCTGAAGTCTACACATCTGAGAGTTGCCAAGTTGGCTGGGTTCCCCAGCCAACTTGGCAACTCTCAGATGTGTGGACTTCAGCTCCCAGAATTCCCCAGCCAGCCTGGCTGGGGAATTCTGGAAGTTGAAGTCCACACATCTGGAAGTTGCCAAGGTTGAGAAATACTGACCTAACCAAATGGCCTGAATTCACACAACATGCTAAACCGCATGAACACCCACAGTGCAGCATCATGCAGAATGATGAAAGCAGCATTGCCCTGACGCAACACAAATTTTGCCCCTTTTATGCAGGCATCATGCAGAGTGTCACTGCCTTCATCTGTTTGACAAAAGTGGTGGAAACCGGGGATACCTGTGCACACAGACACACATCACCAAAGCTAAAACTAAGCCAGCTTAGGATGGTGGGTGAATACAGCCTCTAAGTTCCCCAAAGGGGTTGCAATATATGGGCTTGAGGGCAATATATAAATCAAAATGTTTAGTAGCTACATGCCTGTCCATTAGAAGCTTTAACTGCTGAAGCCTAAAAATATGTGATCTGGAAGGGAAATATTTTTACCCTATGCTTAGATTCTCAGCCTTAAAGGCACACAGAGACATCTTGTGTCCTACAGCTGATTCCAAGCAAGCTTTACATTCTGAAATGAAATGGTGCCTGTGGCCTTCCAAAGCAACATGTGTTCTTGCCACGGCCTCAGCTGGTCTTAGAAGACATTTTGGAGGCTTCCTTGGAATAGAATTGGTTGATCAGTGACCGAGCACAAATATTGCTTAAGATCTAAGCAAACTGTCCTTGTCTCGGTCACTTCTGTCTACTCATCGAGTTGGGTCCTAGAGTAAACACTCCTTTGGACCTGCAGCTTTGCTGTTGGGAACTTTTCAAAGACAAGATCCTTCTGAGCTCAGGAGAGATCATGAAAACATGGAAGTTGGGAAGAAATGTTCTCTTCCAACAGAACCCTTATTTGCTATTACTGTATGCAGTAGTGTCGGGGGGGGGGGGGTTCAAAAAAATCAAGATAGGAACTGCGATTATGTCAAAGCCCTGTCCCTTTTTTACGTGGATCACAACCACACCGTCATGGCCACCATCTTGATATTTGGACACACACAGACACACAATGTGGATGCGCCTGCTATCATGGTAGTTGTAACTATGGGATCATGGATATACAACTCAACATTCTTCTATCTGATGCCCTCCAGAAACATTCCCCTAAAACTTTCAGAATGTTTTATCAGCAGGAACCAGGGGCACCAGGTTTGGAAGATGTCATAAAAGGTCCTGTTACAAGCAAGGGGCAGAAAAGGCCTCAAAATGGTGGCCGCAACGGAGCGATTGAAGTTCTGTCGGGATTTTTTGTGTGTGATGCAAGCAGAGCTGGCACCCATAATAAAACAAGCAGCGTCTTGGATCACGTGTGGCCAAGCTTGATGATTTATTTATTTATCTATTTATTTATTAAATGTATAAGCCGCTCCAATCTATCATGACTCTGGCCGGCTTACAGAATGAAACAATAAAAGCATAGACATACATTGCCTAGACAGAAAGTGTCTGGAGAAAGTGCAGCAACTAGTAATGAAAACACTGTGCAGAGGTCCGTCACCCGCTCGAACCCAAGGCCTAAGGGAGCAGCCAGGTCTTGAGGACTTGGCTAAATAAGGGTAGGGTGAGAGCCATACAAAGCCCAGTGGGACTGATCTTCCAAACGCAGGTGCCATGACTGGTCCATGGGTCCCACCAGATGACCCTGGATGGGCAGAAACTACTGTGGCTAGATGCTCCCTCAAATCCCCCGGCCCCATGCCATGAAGGGCTTTCCAGTGATCATCCTAGAAAAAATCCTTGAATTGCACCCAGAAGCCAAGATTATGAAGACCCAGCTCTCTGGAGAAGACTCTAACACTGGGAAAGGTGGAAGGGAAGAGAAGAGGAAGACCAGCAGCAAGATGGATGGACTCAGAGACAGTGACGATGGGGGCGCCATTGGAAGACCAGAAAGACCAGGTTAGGGATAGATCGTCATGGAAAAAATCTATCTATGTGGTTGCTAAGAGTCGACAACTTGATGTCACAGAATCGGTCAAATCCAAGTGGCTCAGGACACTCCTAACTGGTAAATGTTCCACAGATTTCATCCTGATGAGACCCTAAAGGGTGACTTTAATTAGAATTGATATTCTTCCAGATTCCTTCCACATGCTTCAAAGGTCACTGCTAGGCTGGCTTTCTCATGCCATAACAGTCTGAACTTGTTTGCTTAGACTTTGAACAGGAAAGGGGGAGGTGCAGCTTGGGAAAAGGTGGGGGATCATTTTGGATGGTCCTTTGCCTGTTTTTTTTTAATTATTTATTTTAGCAAGACGGCCATCCCATATAAATGTCCTGCTTTTCATACAAGCTTGAGCTGGAACTGATAACCCTGCCGTAGCTGGAGAAGAGGACGATGTGAGTGGGACTGAACGCTTAAGCAGTGAACTGTGGGACTGTGCAAGAGATCCAGTGACACTGGAATACTTGGGTTGGCCAGAAAGAAGAATGTGACCTGGGGGTCCTTTGCCTGAAGTCCTAATATCTGTGGAACAAACAAGGGTGGTAGAGCAGCCCCAGGATCCAGCAGGGTGATACCTCACAGGCCATTTTGCTCCATCAACCTAGGATCCAAGATGGGCGGCAGGGCTACAGAAGTTAGGAACCAGTCACGCACCCCAGACTGGATTTTTTTTTCCCCTAAAGATCAGAGCGCTACTGCCCTGTTTTTACATTTTTGCAAGTCTGAAAATGCATTTACAAGGGCAAGCGTCAAAGAACCGTGTTTTGAATCAACCTGTCTTGCGAACACAGGAAACTGGGCTGGTGCCAGGGGCTCCTCAAGCAATTGGGGGCGGGGGGCAAGAACTAGCAATTTATACCCTTCCGTTAACTCATTCAATTTCAATTTATGAGAATGTCTCGCATGTTTAGTTTTAGGTCTACAGGAATCTTCTGAGGAACAAGGAAGGAACTGTACGTCTGACGCTGAAAGGTATGACTTTGTGGTTTCTAGAAAACAGCTGCCATTTTCAGCTTCCCTAACCCTAACCTTGTGAGGTCGGTTAAATTGAGAGAAAGATCTTTGCACGCATACGCACACATCTGGTAGCTATTCTGATCTGCTTTCCTTCCTCTTAATTTTTTCATTATGCTTCTCGTAGGCGAAAAAAAGATGCAAGGAACGCATTTGTGTGAACACAATCATGGTGTTTGGTTAACTCCCTTTAGAGCAGGAGTCCCCAAACTCTTCAGCTCATCGACTCTTTATGAAATTTCAGATGGTTCATTGGCCCCCAGACATTTATTATATGAAAAAATTTAATAAATACTACTTTATAATTTAGTTAATAATAGTACTACTATAATAATAATAACATTATTATTATAGTCTTATTGACTCTTGGGGGTCGATAGTGAGCACTTTGGGGAACCCTGCTTTAGAGTTAAGTATGTGGAACTCAGTCACTCAATTTTATAGACTGAAACTGGATATTTGGGGCTTGCTTATGGTTCTGGCTTTTTTACAAGAGTTGCTGGTAAACTGCCCATCGAACAGGGATCAACTATGTCTAAGGAGGTGTTTGACTTCAAAGCCTTCCCAATTTTTGTTTATCTTGGCCAATTTTTCTCATCCAACTTCTTAGGAACAATTATTGCAAAAATGAATCTGAAGATCGTGGTTGCATCAATCCTGTTGCTACTCCTCTGTTCAGGTTAGTTTTCATCCAACTGCTATTTCTTTTGTCTTCGATATTATTATTTTATTTATCTAAAAAATGGGAATTGCAACAAAGGGCTGTGGAGAAGAAAACCAAGCCCATTTCCAGGATATAGGTAGTCCTCATTTAGTGGGAGATGAAGAAGCAATCTGGCTGCTGCTGGTTCTCATTGCTTCTCTGATTCCCATCCGCTGATCTCTCCCAGCCATTCCAGACTGGGGGAGGGAGAACCCCAATCTAGCCTTCCCCTATATTTGATCCTCTATCCCAGTGTTTCTCAACCTTAGCAACTTTAAGATGTCTGGCTGGGGAATTCTGGGTGTTGAAGTCCAGACATCTTAAAGCTGCTGGTAGAGAAACAGTGCTCTACCCTACTGTAGGAATCTTTCTGAACTTCCAGAAAGGTTATCATTTTTAATTGTTATTAATTTTAGGAACAAATTGTCTTTCATTTGCATCAGCCTTGTGCTTCCTTCCATATTTTACTCGGCTTCTCCCTCTGTTGGGCCACTGAAAATCTGGGCAGGCAGTGGACCCACATTTCACCACTGTGACCCCATGGTAATCCATAAATTTGTATCCTTGTCAGCCAGAACCAAAGCAATTCAGTCTTCACCCGCGTTCAAACCACTCTGCTTTTTCTCTTCTGCTTTCCTGCAGAAGTTCTCAGCTATCGTCTGCAAAAGAGAGAAACTGAGGACAAGTCAGTGTTCACCCAATTTGAGGAGACAGCAAGGGGGTACATGAATTACATTTCTGGCATGACTCAAGCCTTGGTAGATAAACTCACATCCTTGGACGTTACCCAGAAAGTTTGGTAAGGAAACAACAGGGGATGATGGGTGATGGGGATTTTCCAAGGACCTAATATTCCTTTCTGATCAATGGTAGGCCAAGTACATGTTCAACCATGGCGACTGCCTTGCCACATTCATATCTTCCTTTCTAAATAATAAAACTCCCCAAATTTACCTGGAAAGTGAATGTGTGCAAAAGAGCATCCATCATGGACTGGTGCTGATCTAGTGGGAACCTGGATGGGGATGGGGAAGTTGAAATAACGTTCTGGAAGATGGTAACCATGAAATACTTTGGTCTTGTTCCTTGATGGTCTACTTATCAAATCCCCAAGACTGAATTTGATTCAATCTACTTTTATCCTGTATTCAATAATGTCCTTTTCTGGGTAAGACTGACATTACAGTTCAAGCAGGACATGGGGGAGAAGATTGGGAGGCTGGGTGCGAAGTTTTCAAGGGGTCACCAGCTGCTTGCCTCAGAGCTGAACAGCGCCTGGAACCGAGTGCCAAAAGTGACCAAAGGTGAAATCTCTGCTGAAGGTCCCCCAACCTGTTGGTGAAAATTAGCAAGTAGAACTCTTTGGTCTTGGGAAGGGGTTTGAAACGTGCCTTCTTTCTTTCTTTCTTTCTTTCTTTCTTTCTTTCTTTCTTTCTTTCTTTCTTTCCAGGAGCAGCTACAAAAACATTACGACAGCTGTGGATATCTACAGAGGCATCGCCACAGATCAAATGGCCCACTGGTGGCACGACAAATGAGACCTGCCACTCAGCCACCGGCTCCTTAAACCTTTGTGTCTCGCTCTCCCCAGCTCTTCCCAGTCTGGCTTTCCCTACTTTGGGGGTATAGAGATGCACTTCTGCTTCGCGTGTGAATAAAGTTCCTTTCCTACTAAGACCTCCAGGCAACTCTCTGGTTCCTGCTTGGTGATGGACTTGTTCGTTGAGATGCAAGCGATGGGCTGGTCCAGCTGGCTTGAGCCAGTGAGACCCCACTGTGTCCATCTTTGTTCTTGGTTGCTCCCCTTTGGCCCTTTGATGCTGCCCTACAAATTCCTGAAACAATCACACGGTCGCTGTTGTCAGAGAGCTCCTACCATCTTAACCCAGAGCAACAGTAGATGCAAGGCCAACTCCCTTTTCTTATGGAGATAAATAAGCTAGACGTTTTACCTACCAGTCTTATCAGCTAAGGAAAGATAGAAGGGAAGAGGCTAAGTTTAATAAGGAGCCCATCTCTTGGGAGTGGGGGACTCTGCCCAGGTAGGGGTGTGAATAATTTACTGCTTATTGCCTATTGCTTGTTAATGATCATGTGCGTCTGTTTTCACAAGTGTATAAAGACTACGTTAATTTACGTATTTTGCAACTTGGGTCCCGAAAGTGCCTCTTTATTGCTGTACAGAATAAACAGGTTGCAATTTCCCCACTTGGGTGTGATTTTTGGCTCTTCGCATCAGGGGAAATGATCCCAGCATTTGACTGGGCCGATCCATCGCTTGGCCAACACAAGGAAATCCAACAGGATGACTGATCATTTTGGCACCATCTTCCCCTAGAAATCAAGGGATTTGCAAGGGTGGCTATCGCTGTCCATAAATTCTCAAAATCCTCTCAAAATGCCAAGGCATTTTATTCATCAGGAGGAATCCAGGTTTTCACAGGAGAAAGGAGCAAACATTCTTTTATATATATATTTTATAACATATTCTAGCGGGCACCCCTGCAAGCCCTTTTCCTCTAATACAGGGTTTCTCAACCTTGGCCACTTTAAGGCGTGTGGACTTCAACTCCCAGAATTCCCCAGCCAGCATATGCTGGCTGGGGAATTCTGGGAGTTGAAGTCCACACGCCTTAAAGTGGCCAAGGTTGAGAAACCCTGCTCTAATATACGTTTGTGCAAACATTGCTTTATTGCACACATTATTCTCCTGAGGAAGGACTGTGGGATCAGTCAAATATACAATGAAACCATCACTTCAATCTTGTAAGAGGAGAACCAGGTTAGTCTATGGCGGCAAACATTTCTGAAGGAGCCTGGTAGCCCCTTTGCCAACTAAAACATTTTAGGAAAAGGCAGAAGCTTTTGCTCGTTTGGTGAGATTCAAGTTCCCGACTTTGGAAGTTCAGAACATGAGCCCACTCAATAGCCATGTGAACCTTGCTGTCTGAAGCCCATCAAAAAGTTCTCAGGTTGAAACCAGACAGCAGAAGAAACGTTCTTCTGAGCAACGCTGGAAATGCTGGGTGAAGTAATTCCCGTCAGCATGAAGCAAAGGGCAATGTGGGGTGTTTTGAAACCACCTTCAGTCTGTTACAAGCCAGATCCTTCCCGTTCTGCGGAAAGAGCTTTGGGTTGGGGTTGGGGTTTGTTCTTACCCTTCTGGGTTCCTCTTCATCACTTCTGCGTAGGATGTGGGAAGAAGGCAAGTAAATAAAAGAGGTTAGAACAATGTTTCTCAACCTCAACAAGTTTCAGATGTGTGGACTTCAACTTCCAGAATTTCCCCAGCCACCATCTTGACTTTTATGACCCCCCTCCCCACAGCCACCCCAGAATACTATACAATATTTTGGCCCCTTGACCCAGTCATGACTTGCAGCCACCCATTTGGATGCTAGGAACTAAGGGTGGATTTCAATTTTGGGAGTTGAAGTCCACACGTCTTGAAGTTGCCAAGGTTGAGAAATTTTATTTCACAAAATGAAATTATATATCTGCCTTTGCCACTCATTCAATGTTGTTTCTTCAAGCCTTCCTACCATCTTTTAGAATAACAAATTAATCCTTGGTAAGATACTCATCTTTATGGTCAATATTCTTCCTAGCCAAGAAAGATTTACCTTTTTCCAATCTTAGAATATCAGCCATTATATTTTTCCAGATCTGTAAATAATTTCGTCTGAATAAGTCTTTATTGTTTTTCCTTAAGTAAATCCCCAGACACCTGATCCATTTAATACTGATATTAAACCCTGCTGCTAGTTGCAAATGCCTGGAAATAAAACGATGGACAAGATTTCACCTGCAAATGGGGGACCTTCCTGAGAGTCGCAGGACAGAGGAGAGAAAAGCCACTAAAATTCCCCCACCCAAACCCTTGAAGGCCAACCTTCTCTTTTGCCAAATTCCGCTGACTGAAGCTGCAAATGTTCCGAGACGTGAGTCTTGTAAGTCTGAAGCAAGTTGCAATGAGGTTTGGTGTTTTGTAATGGTTATTTTCAAAGCTGTTGCAAATCTAGAACCCTTCTGCCCTGTGGGAAGGTGCTCCTTTCTTTCAACTCCACCATCTCCCTTTCCCAATGTCTGGGGGGGAAACTGTAAGCTGAAGGCTTCCCTGTCTTGCCTGGCACGTGGGGTTGACCGTATGCAGCTCACATCATGATGGAATAATCCATGTTCTGGATGGCGCTCTGCTCAGCCGCTTGACTGCAATCCTGGCTGCCTGAATGATGCCTGCCGCTGCTTCTCCTGTGGCTGTAACAGAACAGCCTGCACAATTCCCTCTGGAACCTGACTCCTCCAAAAGTGTAGACCAGTGGGTTCAGACAGCAATGGGCAAGGCCTAGACTCCTGGAGATCAGGACCCCAAAATCCAGCAGCTTCTCCTGTCTGCAGTCCCTCTGCAGATGACCCACACGCTGAAGACTGTCCATGAGGATAAAGCAATGGAAAGGGCCCCAACAGACAACAAAGAGGATCCAGATTGCCACCAGGAGACGTAGGGGCAAACGTCTGCTCAGGAGTCCAGCATGGTGCAGCTTGGTAAAAATCCGTCCGTAGCAGTAGATCATCACTAGGATGGGCAGCCAGAAACCCAGAAAGAAGAAGAACAGCTGCAGCCCCAGTTTCCAGGCGCCTGCTTCCTGAGCCTCAAAGCCCAGGTGGCAGACGACAGCCTTGGCCTGTGAGACGTAGGCGGCAGTCCGGAAATGCAGGTCCACTATGGAGAATGCCAAGCCAATGCCCCAGAAAAAGGCCGAAGTCACGTAGATGTGAGAAACCTTCAAGAAGAAGTTGGGTGGCATAGCCCGGACCATCACAAAGTAGCGCTCAGCACTGATGTAAGTCAGGAGAAAGATGCTGGTGTACGTGGTCATGGTCGAGAGGCCCCCAACAAGCTTGCAGAAGAACTCCCCAAAATTCCAGCCCTGGGTAAACTGGACAGCTCGGAAAGGGAGCGTTAAGCCAAGGAGGAAATCGGCCACAGCCAACTGAAAGAGATAGTGGTCCGCAAAGCGCCAGGACCGGCGACTTTGGCCCAGGATAACCAGCACCAAGCTGTTGCCTACCAGCCCCACCACAAACACCAAGGAGAAAATAACAGGGCCAAAATAGCGGGCAAAAGCATTCACTTCAGTTTGAACGCACGGGGCTGTGTTGGGATCAATGTCGGGGTATCCGGTGCCAAGCTGGGAGGGAGGAAGAAAGAGGAGTTGTTTGGGAGAAATTCTCAGCACATCCCAGACACACACCCTTACCCACAGGCATACGTGCCCCCTTATGAATTGTGTGTGACTGCTGGTATCCTCTTACTCTACTGCTCTTCTGCTGGGTGGATTAGTAGTAGGTGATGAAAGAAGTAAACGAGGAGGGAACAAGCCAGAATGGAAAATTATCTTCACCCTCTTCCCTGCTCAGTTCCAGCTTGTCCTCCCAGCCAGCTTTCCTCCAGTCCCATTTCTCATGACCCCGGATACTTCATGTAATACTGTTACCCTGAGAGCAGGAGTCTTCCTCCCTCCCTCCCTTCCTCCCTCCCTTCATTCCTTCTTCCCTCCTTTCCTCCTTTCCTTCTTTCTTTCCTCCTCCTCCTCCTCCTCCTCCTCAGCGCAGGAACTCTAGGACATGCAATCTCCCCTCAGCCCTCCCTTCCCCATCTCAAGAGATGCACCGTGAAAGCTACACAGTATCTAAAGCCGCCCCTTGAAGGGTTGGGTCCTGGTTCGTCTCTGCTCCTTGTGGAGCAGGAAGCAAAAGAAGGTGGGTGAGCATTTGCTGCAATGAAACAGGAGGACATTTGCATGTGTCCAGGGTTGGCCCAAGGGATTTTGCTGACCAAAGCAGCAGATAAGATGGCTCCCTCACTGCATTACGTGCACAGCACCCTTGGTGGGGCAAGTTGTGAGAGTCCTGTCCTCCATGTGAAACAACTTGGTCGGTTCAAGGGTGCAGGGGAAGCTGGGCGTGGTGCATCACTCAACCCTCCCCCCTTTGCAGACCTTGGTCTAACCATCAGGCTGGTCCAGTTGGGCTGATCTTGCAGTCTACTTTCCAAAGGTGGAGGAACAGGCTCAGCTAAACCATTGCCTACGCAACAGCCGAGCAGTACCAGAGAAACAGAGAACAACCTACCCCAGAGTAATCCTCATCCCAGGAACTGGTGGATAGATTTGGTTTCATGGTTGGATCCAAACCTTCTCCTTGAATGCCCTTCTTTGCTGCTGTTCCCCAGGGTGGATGCCAGTGAAGCCAATGATGTGATGAAGTCACCGGGGCTTCTTGTAGGGAAATGAAACCATCAGGTTATGAAAGGTTCCACGATGGGGAAGTTGAACTGCACTGAGGGCCGATTGCTTGTTTTCCTTCTACTGCTTTGGCTCCAGGGTGGAGGTGGGCAATGAGCAGTCTGAGAATCAGGGCCCCCCAGACTCATCTCTCAAATTCCCAACGTTCCCCAAGATCGTGCTGTGATATATTCCAGGGCAAACACGGGCTGCACTTCAGTGGTGCAATTTCGGATTTTTTTTCCCGTGCTGGCAGGACGGTCTGTGGTAGGGTCACAAAAGTGAAGATGGTGGTTGTGATCATGTGACAAAAGCCCCAACCTATTTTAGGTCCATTGTGTTTGACTTTTGTGGATGCCCCTGAATGGCAACAATATGGAAGTGGTTTGTTGTTTCCTGAGATCTTTTTCCTACTTTTTAGCTAGCCACTGGTGGTCTCCCATCCAAGTCCTCACCAGATCTGACTCTGCTGAACTTTTCTGAGGTCCACCAAGGGCAGCTAAGATCTTCCTGCTGCAATTAAGGTAAAGTCTCCCTTGACAGGAGGAGGAGGAGGAGGAGGAGGAGGAGGAGGAGGA